CCTTCAGCCCGCCCGCTCTTCCCCCGACCTTCGCCCCCCCCACGCGCAACCCGTGCGCGACCCCCGGGTCCGCTCTTCCACCCCGTGCGACTGTCCCCCCCCCCACGTCCCCGCCCTATCATCATCATCAGCAGCAGCAGCAGCAGCATCGGCATCATCACCAATCTACCACGCGTCCCGCCCTCAATTTACATCAAAATTCATTTTTTTATTATTATTATTATTTTTTTCTTTTTTTCAATTCTAGAATCATTTTAAATTCTCTTTTTTTTGTCCATTCGAAAATACTCATTTCTTTCTCAAACGTATTTTCTTTTTCGAAATTTTCGAAATGCATAGGATTAAGCATTCTCTCTCGACATTTCATCTTCGAAATTCGAAAATCAGTTTAATTAATTCTTTTTTCAATTTTTTTTCGAAAATTTCAGAAGTAATTAAATTCTTTTTCGACATTTCTTTTTAATAATTCGAAAACATTCCTAATCCTTTTTCGGAATTTTTGTAATTTGGAAAACATTTTTTAATCAAACTCTTTCCTTTTCGTAACTCGAAATACGTTAGAATTTTTTTATTTTTTTATTTTTTCCTTTCTTTCTCGACATTTCTTTGAAATTCGAAACTACTTTCAATTCATTCGTTTTTCTCTTCGAAAATTTTGAAAGTACGTTAGAATTAATTAAATTCTTTTTTGATATTTCTTTTGAAAATTCAAAAATAATTCTAATTAATTCTTTTTCCCAGTATTTTAATTCACAACTCTTTTTGCAATTTCTGTTCGAAACTCTTTTTACAATTCGGAAGTACTTTTCTTTTAAAATGTTATTCTAAACCCTGCAATTTATTTCGACTAAATTCAATTATTCGAAATTAATTATCCTTTTTATGTCGACATTTTCCTTTTCGAAAAATTCTTGCCAAATATTTTAAAAATTTCCTCTTCCGAATTCTTTTCAGAATCTTTTTATTTTTCTTTTTTTTCCTCTCCGTAATTCGAAAATATTTTCTTTCGAAATTTCACGTTTTCTTGAAAATAAATTTAATCTAAATCAGAATTTATGCAATCAGACTCGTTTTCAAACACACTTTTCATGCATGTAAACAGCAACGCAGCATACTGGCGACATGAGCCCACTCAAAACTCAGAGGTATGGCTTTCAGATACGAGTTCACTCTCAATTGGCTATGGCGACTTCAGCGCCCAAACATCTCACTGTTCACATACACTGGATCACCCTGGATATCCCACACGCATCACTCTA